TTTGTTTTGGCAAAGATTACTTACATGTGGTCTTTATTATAATAGGATAATTTTCAAAATAAAACCAACATAACAATAAAACCAAGTTCTTAACAACTTGATGCCATTGAAACAATTATGCACTATGCTTGAGAATAAAAGATAAGATTGCAAGAAACAAAAAGAAGAGTGTTGAAGATTACCTCAACCGGGCATATTACACCCCACGTCGAGTCATCACCATCCGATGGGTCGGGATCAACGGTCTAGCTTCAATCTCGAACCGGGAAAAGAAATTTCGGCCAAGCCACACCAATGGAACATGAACCCCTTTGATCACAAACTCAAGCACTAGGTGAATTCTCTTAGCAACCTAGTTTGAGAAAGATGGATTCTCTTTTTGCTAAACCCTAAAACCCTTAGCCATAAATCCATATTTGAGAGATAGGAGAGAAGAACTCTATAACTTAAACCCTTAAGTTCTTTCATAATATGGGAGAGAGAGATCAAACATGAGAGAGATAAATTTTCTTAAGAGAGAGAGATAGAAAGATAAAGTATAGAGATTTTGGGTAGAGACCATTCTTTTTTATAGGCTTTGAACAAGATTAGGGGTTCTTAGGATTTTATTTGGCTTGCCTCTTCTTGTGAGATTGAATATAAACTATTGATCAATGGTTACTTATGGGGTGAGAGATATGAGCCATCCATTCCATAGATGGGCCATTAATATTATGGAATGTGCATGAACCATTATCTTCATTTCCTAAACTATTTTCCCATTAATAGAAATTAAATAAATTAAATCTAATTAAAATATTGTGGATACCATAAAATAGCAAAAGGCTACTCAATCTTTCCACAAAATCTTTCAAAGATATATCAAGTCAATATTTAGTTAATATCTTCCAACCATCTGACCACATGCTATGTCAGCAAAAAATAGAAAAGAGAATAAGGGTGGGGCGTACCACCCAAGGGAGGCACTCATGGGCCCTACCTTCTAAAAATATGGCTTGCCCATGTGCACAATGGGCCCCCATGATATTTTTATATATTTAAAATTAATAAAAAGATTTTAGAATATTATTTTAATATTTAAATAATTGTAAAATCAATATCTTTAATTTTATAAATATAAAAATTATAAATAAAATATCCAGGGGTTCATAAAAATTCAAATAATAATATTCAAATATTTCCATCATAAAACAAGCACAATTAAATTAATTTGATAGGAAAAGGATCCATATGGTTTAGGAATCAACAATCATGGGGCACTCCACCTTCAATTGTGGACTACGGACCACACTTGCTTTATCAGACCAACCTAGTGTTTTCCATAACCCACAGTCCAAGCAAGGGTTCATTAATGGGTCACCAATGTCCCACCGATGAGCCAAGGGATCGCAATACCAATTTGTAGATTTCAGGTCCTCCCCTAGAGACAAGTCAAGGTCACCAAGACCTTATGCGACCACAGCTATATGACACATTGGAGTATCTCTCGCACATGCATACGCTTCACCCTAAAAGGTGGATTTCTGGCTTTTCCGAATGATATATATATATGCATACTGTGTGATGGTATATGGATGAGGTTTTGGCCCCCGTCTCTGTAGGCCACCATCACACACAAGGGTCACACAGTCCCTCGGCTCACTCATCCGGGCATGTTCTCCGACCTTATCAAGGGCTAACCCATAAACCCTCATCGGTTTGTTCTTGATGCCCATGTAACATGGGTTTTTTCCAACCAACTGACCTAGATCGTTAAGCACAGATCGGTATCAACAAAGCATCGTTTGCTTAGTATGGTCCACGAAGGACCACACTCTCACTGAATTCATGTTCTACTATATCATTTCATTTTACAAGCACTTATAAGGCCTTTAAAGGCCACATAAACCCAACACCATGTATCTCTCACAATTATTAGACAATTAAACTACTAGACAACTAAACTACTATTGGAAGAAAACCTTGAAAGCAACCAAGACTTTTCTCACTAAAAGGAAAAACTATCCATCTTGGAAGAGAACCTTGAGAGCAACCAAGACTTCTCTTACTAAAAAAAAAAAACCACTCAAAATCTCTATGGGAATGGCTTCTCCACAATAAAGTAGCATCTCACTTTGCAGGAGGCACATCACAGTGTTTCTCTCCATATAAAGCTCATTCCATAGGAGGCACATCACAACATTTCTCTCCGTAAGAAGTTCTCTTCTCTCTGAGACGAGCAGTGTTTCTCCCATACAAACCTCACTCGATAGGAGGTATATCACATCATTTGTCTTCATAGGAAGTTCTCTTCTCTCTGAGGAGAGGCCATGCACAGAAGGCCCATGCATCTCTCTCTAAAAAAACCTACCATTAGCATATGGTCTTTTTGGATTTTTATTTTATTTAAAAAAATTATAAATATTATTTTCGATTCTACTGGGATTTCTTTGTGAATTTTTATTTTATTTAGAAAACTTATCAATATTAGTCCCGATTCTACTGGGATTTCTTTGTGATGGTGATTTTTGGAAATCACCGTAGCCAACATGTGTACATAACTTTATGAGTCCAGTTATTACTCAAAACCTCAAAAAAAAAAAAGGAGATGGTGGCTTCCTCGTGTGAATAGGGACCACTACGAATCCTAAAGCATGCATATGAAGCTCAGCTAGATAAGATGCATGGGTTATTGTAGAGACAATGATCGATGAAGCAAGTGAAACTCCAAATTAAATGGATCAATTGGAAGATAAAGGACCTTTTTGTTTTTTATTTAGCACTCGATTTATCCGTGTTCGAGAAAATGTCAAGGGCTGTAACCTCAAAGGAATATTGGGACATTTAAAGGAATTCTTTCAAAAGGGATTGAGAAGGCGAAAAAGGTGCAATTGCAAGCCTGAATTTGAATCGGTTCATGTGAACAAATATGAATTGACATCAAATTACTTTTTGGTTTGGTAAGTATTTATTAAATTAAAATAAATGCAAGTTTAACAAAATACTTATTAGAGATTAACTATTTAATATAATTTGATTTAATTTTAAAATATCCATCAAAAGACGCATGATCATGAGTTGAAATAGTTGCAAATGTGGGTGCATCTCTCACGGGTATTTTGATCTATCTACCTAAAATAAATGGGGAAATTTTACATAATAAACAGATATGGAGAAGATCTTGAGGTTTGTGACCACCCCATTTCGAACATAATAAAAGGATGTGCTCATTTCCAAAAATGGGGAAAAAATAGAAGCACCCGTTTGCCACCCCCAAACCCACCAAAAAAATAAATGGGGCTTGAGCCACCATTCTGCATTTTAAATACTAACTTCTATAGACATTGTTGGCTTGTTCTATTCTTTAAATAACGGGTGATTTACCCCTTCTGGTTCACAAACAAATTGAGGCAAAGCAAATTTGCAAACAATATATTTAGGGCCTGGTTGAATTGCAACTAATTTTATCTAGACTAGATCTTTTGTCTAGAATTAATCTACTTTGGATAATATTATTTTGTTAGAGTTTGTTTGGATGTACTCATTATAATTAATAAAATTAATTATGATAAGGAATTATATGTTGTTTGGTTGTATCCATTGTAAAGTTATTTGAGATAAATTTATGGGCAGTTTTATATATGATTTTTTTTTAAAAAAAACTGTTTTTAATTTATCTATTTTTATATTGTATTATTAAACAACAATTTAAGAGATAGATGCTTGTCTCAAGAATAAAGAGGGACCCTGTCTCCAAAGAGTAGGATATGTGAACTTTAAATAAAGAAGTTTAGGGCATTAGGAAGGATATCTTTTTATTTTTCAAAAAAACAAATCCTATCTTTTTTGTATAAAAATATTTTTTAGGATGGGATCTAGAGAGATTTGAGGAAAGCCGTATAATGCGCATGGAATACATATTTTTAAACATATCTATGTATTATGGCCAACTAAATATATTTCATTTATATATTATAATTCATAATAATTAGATTATAATATAATATTGCGATATTAATAGTGATATAATATCATAATATTAATCGAATTTATATTAAAAATATACAATATTTAATAAAATATAAATATTATAATAACGATATTATAAAAATGTTATTGGGATCCAAGACTAAAAACCAGGCCCAATTTCCCACGCCATATCAAAAGGTTGATGGGCACATGACTGCGATGAATCAAAGCAAACAGCAAATTGAGACCAATTTTGGGTTTCTGAATCCCAAAATTGGTCACAATAGCAAGAACACAATAATATCTGTCATCAAGTAACCACATGCAACTGTCAATATATAAACTACTGCAACTTTCAGCTGTTAAAAAGTGTACGTAGGATACTAGTATGATATTCTTAAAACTTCTTCACAAAGCCAATAATACCTTTATATTGACCTCATTTGAAACCATTTATTGAATGTACATACTATGTTCTTGGCATATGGTTTTGAGAAGAACCTCCTTCCCCATGGTATTCACATCAGGAATAAATAAAAGAGGACTACCGCGGAAGATGAACCACCATATACTCACTTTAGTGAATGCATTTCAGACTTTTCAGCTTAGGGCCTATTTGGTTCCTTCGATATGAGACTCCTGAAGTCACACCTCGATGGAAACAGCCGATACTTACTTATTTGTTCCCTCTAAAGATGGAATTAAAATTTCCACAGGGAGTCTTGTATCCTCATTTTAAGTCAAATTTGGAATTGACATTTCTTCGAAATCAAAAGTTAAACGAACATAACCTGATATTATTATTGTTATTATTAATATTATTATTACTACTACTACTGCTATTATTATTGTTATTATCAATATTATCATTTAAAATATTTATTATTGAAACAATGATCATTTGAACATTTTTATTATAATATTGTTATTATCTTAATATAATATTTATATTATATTACTATTGAAATATTTGTAATGTATTATGTTATTTTTAACATAATAATACTATAAATTATAAATTTGGCAATTTTTGAAGTAATTCTTAAGTACAATAATCACAACATTGAGAATGGTTATTTTTTAAAAGTAATGATACAATAAAATTTTTGAATTTCATGAAGATACATCTTCCAAGCAATCCAAATAGTGAAGATGCATCTTCCAAATCTCAACCAAATGTTATCCAAACAACATACGCCCATTGTCCAAGAAAATGTCAATTCTAGGAGATACCAAATCCAGGTTACACATTTCCCCAGGATTCCCATTTCCAGGAACCAAACGGTTAGAGAAATTTCTTCTCCTTCAGGCTCTCCACTGTTTCCTTGAGACCAACCTCTATAGGAGTAAAGTTGACTCCCAACTTCTGTGTTTTCTCTTTTGATACCTGATATGGAGGGAATGGATTTTCATCTGCCCACCTGCTAAAACAGAAAAACAAAATCCACATTTTTCTGTGTAAAACTGATACCAAAAAAGTAGGGATACCACTAAAAGCCACTGAAACATGAGCAACTATATTTACAAAATTATAGCTTGCCAAGCCAATGAGAGCCAACTTCCCAGAAAACCCAAGGCAGATAGAGATTTCAAGAAAAATATGACTGAGCGAGGGAAAAATTCCTGTCCAAAATAGCAATTTTTCCGTCTCTGTATTAGACACTAACCAAGTAAGCAGCATGCATTTTCTTTTTCAATGGAAAACCACATGCATATATACAAACAAACTTCAGGTTTCATGAGCAGTTACTAAGAAAGCCCACCAAGGACAACAGTGCCTGGTGTGCTTTGTAGAGTGAGATGAGTCCCATGACAAAATATTAGACTCACTAGATTTATAGTGGGAGAGTGCTTACCTTTGAGGGATTGGATATTCCGGGTACAGCTCATGCAACACCTTTACAATTTTTGAATAATGTTCTCGTCTCTCCACCAAACAATATCTCCCACTTGCTGATGGAACCTCATATGCAAGAATATGGGCCTCTGCGACATCTTGGACAGTTATCCAATTAAAGGTTATATTTTCATTTGGCGGACTTCCTGTATCAGAAAAAAGGAAAGAAAACAAAAACTTATAATAATCAATAAGCCAGATTAGAATCCAAAGAGGTATCAATAGATAACGAAATAGCTTCATTCAAATTCTACATTCAACCACATTGCATGACCAACACTTTCTAGCCACGGGAACATAAAACCCACATTTAAGAGCATAAAGCTGGGGTTTGAACCCAAGACCTCTTGTGACAAGTTCATACGATCTACCATTGCACCAACCTCAATTAAGTGTAATAAATGTGGACTATTTACATATACATTAAAAATCAATTCTGTTAAGGGCTGATTTAACTACGACGGCGGATAAGTGCATAAATATGATTATCCCTCGGTGCAAACCATGTTGAATGTTGCATACAAACATACCATTATAGTAAAATAAAAATAGTACGGATGTGTCTTGTCGTATTGGCTTTTTAGGACAAAGTACTAGACACTCTCAATACATATTAGACATGATACTTCTGTCAGGGTCTAGGTAGCATAGCTTTAAGCATGAAATTTATTTACATTCTACTCTGCATTCTTCCCATATATCCCAAGTTGATGCAGGGTTTCTTAGAATATGATGCTTCTTTTATCCCAAGCCTAAGTATTGCTTAGAACAGAACTCGCTCAATTGGCTTTTAAAAACGAATACATGGGTAACACATTTGATCCTTCATGTAAACTATAACCCCAGACTTTTCTTATTTGGAATAAAACAAACAACAACAATGAATACTATATAGGCAGGCCACTGTTGCAATAGATGAACCTCAAATTGGTATCAAGGAAAGCTTCTCAAGGCACAAGCTCCAAACTCAACACTTAGGAAACGGGCTTATAACCTCCTGCTTGGTTTAGTGACTTGTCTAACTTCCAATGCCTACTAAAACCCCATAACTGCACAATCAATTAGATGGCTCTTTCTGCAAAAACTGATTTCTAAGTGATTACAATACCTTGTCTTGCATTTATATTGAGAAGCAAAATAAAAAAGCATCCTACATCCTTTTCTCATCATTTTCTCACTATTTAATAGAGCCTTCTGTTAGTTGAACCAAAAAGCTCATGCCTCAGTGTCAAGCCTTGTGCTTGCCTCACATGAATAAAAATGCTCCATGTGGTTTTCTTTTCAAGAGAAAAACGTTTCATGTTGTACAACATTTTTCCTGGACAACTTCTTTCAACAAAATAACCTCACCATCATATAATACCAGAAATAGAGAGAATTCTATCAAATGCCAGGATATAGCTGCCAGATTTTATATTTTTCATTTTTGTCATCTGAAACCTATGTAACCAAGAAGCATACGGGTAAATATCAAATCCTTCCTAACCTCTGATGACCTCAGTCCAGTGACGACCTTTCAATATTTATAGGACCGATGCAATCTCAAGCATTTATCCCCAATCTCCATTATAAAAAATATTACTACTAAGTGCCATGCTTACCATTTAGAAGATTTAGAATAATAGCAGAACTTGAATTCAAATTTGGTTGCAGAAGGGGACCAATCACCAATCCTGGATTCATTACCACCAAGTCAATCTCCTTTTCCTTGGCAAAATCCCATGCAGCCTTCTCAGCCAAGATTTTCGATAGTGCATACCAATTCTGCAAAACAAATAAAAAATAACATTTCAAAAAGAAATCCGGCACACTCAAATTATTAGAATTATCATAAAGAACGGATGATATTCAAGTATAGGGATGGCTGCAGAAAACAGATACCAGATTGAAAAGATAAAATGAAAATTAAACAAAAGACATTAACAAAATATTGAAATACAACTATAGAAAATATTAAAATACAACTATATGGAGAAAAACACTTGAAGGCAACTATCATAACATGGATTACACTCAAGCGCACGCATGTGTGTGCATATATCAACATTGAGAGAGAGAAAGAGCGAGATGGAACAAACCACATTTTTACTTGTCTTCCAGTTGGAAAACCATGCCCCCCACTTCTTTAAGATAAATACCTGTTGTAGGACCAAGGGAAGTGCCCTAAAGAGGTGAGACACACGAGGTTTGAGCTTGGAAAGATATATGATTGGGTATTCTTGTTAGGTTTGAATTGGGGGTTTTAAAGGGTTTTAGGTTCCTAAAAATATTAGGACAGCAGAGTTTTGGGCCTTATGAAGGGCTCCAAATAGAGATAGAATTGGAAAATATGAGGTCTAAATTATAGTAGTACTAGAATTCGAGTAATAGGGAAGGATTTGTTTATGTTAGCAAAAGGTTTATGATAGGTTTCACGTTTTCTAAGGGGTTGAAGCTAGCCGGAATTTAGCAGGTCCAGGAAGATAGGAGGCGGATGTGATAGGTTCTAGGGTTCAATTGGGGTAAACCTAGTGTTTAAACTTAAGTTTGAAGGCTATGAATAATAGGTACATGGTTAGGGTAGTTTTTGAGCTAATTTACCGAGCAGTTAAGAGAGGTTGATCATACTCTCTACAAAAAGAGTTGAAGAATCTCTCCTCTAGAGGTGGCCTCTCACCACAATTGAAAACCCAAATTTCATGTCTCAAAAATTGATTATTTTGGCTAATTACATTCATTTATAGTGGTTTTAAAATACTAATCTACCCAACTTCAAAAAAATTAAAAAAACTTTCTAATTAAACTACAAGATAGTTAACAGGGTCATAAACTGTATAGGAAAGAATTTTTAGTTGCCGAGGACACTTAACTCTAAATCCATGACAAAAAACAAATCCTAATCTAATTGGAACCACACGGTGATCTACTTTCCTCTAGGTTTCATGTGGGGTCCATTGTGGCTCCACCTTGGTACACCATCTCTTGGCTGCCTTGGGTGCTATGCTATTAATATCCTTCTTAGTCGACACTAGAGTTGGAAATCTCAAACTTTCTCCAGGACTCACGGGAGAGTTGCCTTTGTGAATCGCAAGTAAAATTGATGAGTCTAGTCCGCGCTGGGCAAGTTACCAATAACAGTTCCCCAAAAAGTTAGGAAAAAAACCTAAACAACCCAAATGGCAAGTTACCAATAACAGTTCCCCAAATAGTTAGGAAAAAAAACTTAAACAACCCAAAATTAGAAAATTCATTACAAATTTCTAACCTATATACAAAATGATAGATGATAAAAAAAATACTTTATTGGCATAAACTCACTAAAATTATCTGAAGATTTAATTTAACATTAAATTATTTTCTAATTTTTATTTCTACAGTGCAAATTCAAATGAGTCTCATCGTTCCTACTTCATATTAACATGTGAAGATCAAGTAAATCCTATACAAGAAGTCCACAACCATATACGTTGTAGAGCGACAAACTCAGTCTCACAAAGAGTTGAAGGAACACAAAAATACAAAAAAGGTACTCCAATATAAAAATGCATCGGTCTACAATCAAATGTTAGCCAATAGAAAGATTGTCGGGTGTCAAACCACCTTGGCTGTCAGGGTAGGGATCCCTCCTAAACATATCTGAGACCCTAATCCAAAGTCATCAAGGCTAGTCCAAAACTCCAAATGTTAGGCTCCCTGCCACCTTAGCTCCATTGGTCATCACCTTGATCCCCCTCACCTGTTCCTCCTCTTTATAATGGCCCTCACCGTCTTGCCCACATCTTCATATGGTTTGCCTCTTTCTGAGTCTTCTGAGGGTCCCCTCTCCTTGCTTCTCCGATGTCTCTGGGCCAACTTGTTCCCTCTTATTGATGACTAGTTTTTCTTGCTCCACTAGCCATTCCTCTATAGGACCTTCCTAAAATATGTAGTCCACAATCCATGTTGATTGTATCATAATTCCTCACTTCCCTCCTCAATTGTCTCTTATATTAAGATGATGGTGACATAGACAAGCTTGTGAAGCCTTTTAAATACTTATTTCTCCTTAGTGGGTGATTCAAAGGAATGTACTCCAATTTCTCTCACACCTGATGGAGGAATAAGATTAGTTGAAGGTCATGGTTGGATCCTCTTTGAGAGGTGTCACCTCCATGTATCTCCCATCATCATGCTGGGAAGGGAGAAGATAAAACTGATCAAATATGAGTACAATCACGTAGACTAGTTCTAGTATAACCATAGTTTTAAAAACCAGAACCCCCCAGCGCCTGGGCCATTCAGAAGGCCTGGGCGATGCTCCCAGGCCTAGGCGCCCAAACTTGGCAGATATCCCTAGGTGCCCGCCAAGGAGCCCAGGGGCGGAAATCCAGTTCATTTGGGGGTATTTTTGGGTCATCTTTTTAATACTACAGGGGCAAAATTGTGGGGTTCATTTGAAACTTAAAACCCATTAGAGGTTATTTTAGAGAGAGAAAACCCACAAAAAAAAAAAATTCTAATAGGCCGCCCAGGTTCTGAGCACCCACTTAGGCGCTCGGCGGCTTAGACCCCCGACCATCTAGGTGCCTCCTAACGCTTTTTGAAACACTGAGTATAACACTATATGAGTTATGACATTGGAATTTACAACTAACTAGGGTTCTAGATTTGAACCAAATTCGCCTTGTGCATCCATATATCAATCAAGATAAAACAACAAAATACATATTTTTTGATTTACAAACTACAAGCAAAAGATCATCACATTTACACATTTTAAACAAAAGTTTGCCCCTATCAAGGCTTCAATGTGGGCATCCTTGTCTCGCTCTCATCTTCCAATACAAAATGAAAGATGGACAATGTGATCTAGCCAAGTATATACAATTAAATTTTTTCTTTTCTTTTCTTTCTTTTATTCATACCAGCTAGAATGCTTACAAGTGTATAAATTACAACTTTATTCATAAGATATACCCAAATACAATCTAGGATCTTCTCTTGCATACCGCAACAATTCTTATAATCATACAAAAATACGATGCATGAAGAATCAAGAAACATGGAGCTATTAGAATACCAAATACCTTGCCTCAGGTTACCCCCAAGGACTTCGTACACCAGCCATCGGGTCTCCTCCACCGATGGTGCATGAGATCTCGGTCCTAACCTTGCCTCATAATTGGGGAAGCCTAAGAAAAACCTCTAGAGAGCATGACATGGGATGGATGCAGACCTCACAGCACAAAACACAAGCACATGTACTATCTCAAGGCTAGGGCATGCCACCCTTAGTGGTTAGGGCTTGCCCCTTAGGGTTTCTTACATTTTATATTAATCAAAACTCTAACAAGAAAGAGAAAGAGAGAGAGAGTGAGAGAGAGAGAGAGAGAAATAGAGAGGCCAACCTTTGTTCACACTTGTAGAGAATGGAACCCATAGAGTGTATTTGTAGGGTAGAGGCTAGGGTTTTGCCATCATTATGAGACTTAATCTGCACCGTAGATCTTGGAGTCCTGTAGGGTGAAGAGATCTTAGCCCTTCATTCCTTAAATCAGTCATCGTGACTAAAGGAATGAGCTAGAACTATTATCCCTCAGTTTCCATAACTCTATTCCCATCAAATATTTGTGTAAAGAAAATACTAGATATTTACTTATTTAATTCTCATCAATTTCTACACTTTCCACTTTTAAAACAATCATCCTTGATTTGAAACATTTTCCTAAAATTTCAAAATCATCTAGAAAGCTTTAATGCCCCCCCGCACCCTCAAATAAATTTTAGATTAATCAAACTGACTTTTAGAAGTCAATAAATATTTTTTCTTTCTCACCATAATAAGTAAATCCATAAAATTGATTTTAGCGTATTTAAAAATATTTTTTCACAAAAATAAAATATCCAAAGAGATCTAAAAATTCATTTTAATAATTCAAAATATAAGTAAAATATAATTAAACATATTAAAATTTTTAATGAGAATTGGATCCAAAAAGTCAAGAATATCACAAATATACTGAAGACTCCATCCCTTCTAGCAACCGCAACTCACCGTCATCTTCTCAAACTGACCCAACAGCTACCCATAACCCACAGCCAATCACAAGCGTTCATGCTTGGACTATCAAAGTCATCTATTAAATGAAAGAAACACAATCCTAGCACATGGATTACAGACCTCTCTAGGGACAAGCCTAGATTACAAAAACATGTGCACACTTATTACAATTAAGCTTAGATCACACAGACATGTGCACACATATTACAATTGGTGCATGAGGGCTATCTCTCGCACATGTACATGTCACACCCTCAATGGGTGTCTGCTTCCCAATACGGCTATCATATGTACATGATGTGCGATTGTCAAGATGAGGATTTGGCCCTTGTCTCTTCAGGCCCTCCAATCACACAAAAGAGTCACACAGTCCTTTGGCCAGCTACTCTGGGCATCTCTCTGACCTCATCAAGGGTTAACCCTAAACCCCCCACGGTTGTGCCTCATGCCCAAAGATAAAGGGTTTTAAACTTAACATCGCCTAGATCGTTAAGCCTAGTTTGAGTTTCGGCATCAATATTGCTATCTTTGATCACTCTGGACCATAATCCTTTGGTCCCTTTGGACCGTACTCCCCTTGGAGTTATCATATAACTATAGTCATAATTTTACATGTTCTCATAAGGTTTTTAAATGGGCACATAACCCAACAAATAATTTGCCCTTTCCATGATCTCAAGGTGCTAGCTCTAACCTGGTTGGTAGTGGTATGCGGGGTTAGAAAAGAAACCTAACCTAAACACAT